GGGTGTCTGAGCCCCATGGGGCCTTCGTGTCTCCAAAGCCCAGCCACAGCTGATCCTGCCTTCACAAAAGGCCCACATCACCTCTTTGAAAGACCAGCTGCCTCCCTGTTGCCATTAGAATGGATAGTGTCAGTTCTTTTGGTTTGGAAGTCTTTTGTCCATCCGAGGCTTCTGTTAAGATGCAAATGTCTGGAGGGCCTATTGACCACTGTCAGCCAACTCAAGAGTCGGCAGCTGAGGCATCTAGTTGACAGGCATCTGAGAACGAGACCCTGTTGAGATAAAACTCCCGCCAGATGGGGAGGGGGTTGAGCGTGGTTGACGGTGGTGAAGAAGTAGGGGGGAGACAATGGAAGGAGGGCTATGGAGCCGAGGATGGATGATCTGGATGGGTTGCGACAGCAAGGCGGGGAAGGGAGTCAGCCTTCAGGCAGGGAGGCCTGTTCTGAGAACACTGAGGAGAGAGACACACGCTGCTGTGCCCCAGGTGTGTTTAGACACCAGGGAGAGCAGGCCAGCGAGGTGCACCTTCCACCCGTCATGTGCTCCAGTCTAATGGCCGGGGCCAGGGAGAAGGTGGTGAGGCTGCTGACATGAGCCGGAAGTAGGGTCCAAAGACTGGGCTTGGCTGGGGGAAGGGAGACCAAGAGAGAAGGATGCCAGGGACCAGTGCCTGACCAGCCGGCCCTGATTGTGAAGGTCTGTCGGTGTTGGCATCCTGATGTCCCTCATAAGGATTCAGTTAGCCATGGCTTGCTCTGTGTCTGAGCTGGAGGGGAATGAGAGACATTCTAAAGGCTGGCAGATACGGGTCTCAATTGGTTTCCCAAACTGGAGCAGAGGTCCAAACAAACTCATGACGTGTAGTGGAGAGCCCCCGCTCTGGAGGGAGGTGGTGCAGAAGACAGGGGGAGGGAGACATAAATGCAGTCCACGCCAGCGGCGTGCTCTTTGAGATCACAGGCTGCTGGAAGTATTTCCCAGGAGAGACCTGCTGGGGTTCGTAGAGCACTCAGTCTTGAAAGCGGCAGGACCTCCCCAGAGGAGAAGGGCCAGGATGATGAGGGGTCAGCCCTCGTGATCTATGAGAAATGACTGAAAAGCTGGAGGCAGTTTCCATCGGAGAAGAAGAAATTTGGGTGACCAACGTACGTTGGAACAAGCATTCTGTGGGTGGAAGTTACAGAGAGATGGGTGTGGACCTCTTCGTTAGTTTTGAAGAAGCACCTGATGATTGGAGATGTCGGCTCGTGGACTGAGCTGCCTGGCAGGTAATTCATCATCCTTGCAGGTGGTCAGCAAGCACTAGATGGCCATTATAGGTGGAATTCCTGCTTTGGATAAGACTTTGAGGGAATGGGCTTTAAAATTCCATCACATTCTGCATGCTTGGCCCAGGGATCACCATTCAGTTCGTTGTTGTTCTCTGTCTTTGGGCTTTAGAAACAGTGTGACTGACCCTTGAAAGTGACCTTGCCGGGGGATGCTGCATCCCCCTAATCCTGCAACCCGCTTCTTCCCAACCAACCGTCCGATAGTTTCCACCCCCCACCCCAGAGGACGCTGTGGCCACTCGCGCCAGGCCCCAGCAGGACTGTGATCGGATCGGCTTCCTTCTTTGACGGCTCCTCTGTCTACCCGTGTGGAGTCAGGACTTCTCTTTGAAGGCTCCAGGATACTTTGCGCCTGTTTCCTTCTTTATTTACCCTAGAAAGAGATCGAGGTCAAAGTCATTTCCCAATGCCACTTTCTCTCGTTGCTGGTCATGTTTCCCTACCCTCAGACCCCTCTCTCCTAATTCTTCCCAGCATAGTCCATCTTCCAGGTCTCAAGAGGACCTTCTAGAACCAGCCACACAGGTGTCTGGCTCTTACAGAGTTCCAGGACAGAGGTCCTCCCTACACAACTCTGGCAAGTGGGAAGTTCTACCTCGGGCCTCTCTGGGATCCATCTGGATGCCTCTTGGGCTCCGGGTAGGTTTGCCGTCTTGGAACGACAAGCAGAGGTCTGCATCCTTCCCCCGGGAGAGAACAGCTCGTCACAGACCGTCTTCCAGTCCCACTCGTCCCATGCAAGATTGATTTTCAGCCACTTTCCAGCTGGAAATGCTTGCGTTGCTAGTTCTTCATGCTCTACATCCCCTGGCCAGAATGGGAAATCCTTACCTCTTATTTCCTCCCATAGTGACTTTTTCTAACTGCCCAGCCTTGTTAAAGATGGTCAGCAGGACCTCCCTAAGCTCCTTCTGTGACTCTGTGGGCTCGAGTCCTTACTCCTGAGGTCGTCCTTGACACCTGCTCTTGCTGGGGACTTGAATCTCAGAACGATTAGAGAGGAGGAGTCTGGTTCCTCCCAGTGATGGGGAGGGGGACTGAGAAAGCACAGCTTGAGGTTTGGATTTGGTGGGTCTGTGCCCCTCAGAATTTGCTCTCAGGGAATGTTGGTGCTGAGCCTTCAGGGACCGCTCCAGAGCTATTCTGACTGCGGGAAGGGATGCCTGGCCTAGTCAGTCAAGCCTTCTCTTCTCTCCCTCCTCATCCCCCATCAGCCTTCATCCGCCTGACAGATTCACCCTCCTAATTCTGTTCCTCTCAGTTCAAAGTCAAACCCATGGGCACCGTTGCCTGAGCATACCCCACCCTGGAAAGGATGAAGGACTTCCCTGGGAGGGGAGCCTGGGTGGGCCGGGAAGCCACCCCAGGGGGAATGAGGCCCCCAAGAGAGTCCACGGACCACAGCCTTTCATGGATCGGGACCCAGGCCTGGTGGGACGCTCAGTTCCCGGCATTCTCTCTTCTCTGGGCTGCAGGAGGTGGACATCTACACGGTGAAGACGGAAGAGCTGTCGTTCACATCTGCGTTCTGCTTGCAGATACAGCGCAACGACTACGTCCACGCCCTGGTCACCTATTTCAATATTGAATTTACCAAGTGCCACAAGAAAATGGGGTTTTCCACAGGTGAGTGAGGGGTGCGTGGGCGCTCAGAGCCTCCTCTTCTCGCCCGTGCCTTCTGGAGGCTTTGTGGGAGGGGGCCGGGGCTGGCCTCCGCTTGGGGAGAAGGGTCCGGGCGTGAGCCACAGCCCTCACTTGACACCTCACCGTCTTCTCCAGCCGAGAGGAGGCTGCATGTCCCCAGACTCTTGGGCGCCCGAGGAGGAGGTCAACAAAACTGTGGTTGGCTCAACCTGAGCTGAGAGTGTGTGTTGGGTGAGGCAGCGGGAGAAAGAGCTCTTGGAGTGGCCCCCGAGACCCTTGGAGTGCACATTCTGTGTGAGGGGTGAGAGACTTGAATAAGACTTTTCTCTCTCCAGAGCCCTGCCTCCGTGTGGGCCTCGGCCTAGCCCTCGGGAGACTTCTGAACTGGGTCTCTGTGTCTCCTCACTTCCACCCCAGTCCGTCCCTCGTCAAATCCCTGAAAGTGTTCCTCAGGACAGCCCTCCTTCCACGAGGCCTCTCACTGCCCAGCCTCCCTTCCAAGGGCCTCACTGCCTGCATTTCTGAGCCTGGTATGAGGGGGACCCGGGACCTGTGTCCCGGCCCTGGCCTGCTCTCCAGCCTATCCTTCCACCCCTGCTGGACGGGCCTTCCCACCCCGTCTTGTGGCTGTTCCCCACGCACAGCCCGGCTACACGGAGCTCCCCGCAGTCCCCCGAACTCAGGGAGGCCCCTTTGGGCTCTGGGCCATTGCCTCTGCACACACCACCCGGTGGTCCACCCAGGTGTGCCTGGAGCAGGAGGGGTCTTTATCAGAAGACTCCTATCAGCCCCCTTCCTCCTGTGTCAGTCGGTCCAGACTGCCACAGCAAAGTACCATGGATCGACTGGCTTAACAACAGGAATTCGTTGCTCACAGTCCTGGAGGACAGAAGCCCAGGATCAAGGGGTCGGCAGGGTTGGTTTCCCCCAAGGTCTCTCTCCCTGGCCTGCAGGCAGCCGCCTTCCTGCCGTGTCCTCACGGGACCTTTCTTCTGTGCTCAAGTGGCCCTGGTGTCTTTCTGTGTCCTGAGCTCCTTGTCTTATAAGGACACAGTCAGCTGGGATTGGAGCCCACTCTGAAGGCTCGTTTTAACTTACTCCTTCCTTTTAAGACCCTGTTTCCAAATTCAGTCGCCTTATGAGGTTCTGGAATTAGGACTGCAGTACGAATTTGAGGGGACACCACTCAGCCCACAAGACCGCCCCGTCCCCACCTCTTCAGCGGGCCGACTCCCACACGGGCTTCACCTCTCAGCTCAGAGATTTCCTGGTCCCCTCCTTTCCCTTGGGGCAAGGTTAGGCGTTCTTGGGCCTTCCCAAGGTCCTGTGCACGTGTCTATTGGGACGTTTAAAGGGACACTTCTATGCAATGACCAGAAGAAATCAGCACAAAAGAGCATGAAAAGTCCGAGAACAATGCTCTCCCCCCATCCATCCCAGTCCTGCTTCTCAGAGGCAGATATATGATTATGATTAATGATTTCTTTTGGATCCTTCCAGAAAATTTCAATGGGTGCACAAGCACAGACATGTCTATAGACACCTCTCTTTTCTTTTTCTTTTTTACTTTTTATTTTGAAATAATTATAGACTCACAGGAAGTTGTAAAAATAGTACACAGAGTTCCGTGAACACTTTACCTGGCTGTCCCCTTGATGGCATCTTATATAAGTGTAGTATGATATCAAAAATACACCATTTTTTAGAACACAGGTTAGATTTTGCTCTTCACACTGCCCTCAGCTACCTTTTTAATTTAACAGCGTATCTTGGAGGTACTTCCACAGTCTCACAGAGATGCCTACTTTCTTTTTATAAACTACCTCAGAGGATTCCAAGGCAGAACGTGCCAGTCTTTTTTCGCAAGCGTCAGTCTCCTCTGGGAGTAGGGATCACACCTGTCTCATCTCTGTATTCCTGGCTTCTAAAACACAGTCCTAAGCAAATCACTGTTATAGAAGCATATGACGAGATGACTCCTACCCTTGGGAATGTATTCATGTGGAATGTGGAGTGTCCCCGGGAACTGGGAGTGTGTCACTAGGGGGTGTGTAATTGTGTGTGTGGCAGGAGGAGGGGGTGAGGTCTACCAGAAATCCAGGCTATGTTTCTTTACTGCCTGCCGCCATGATGACAAGGACCCTTTTTGACTTGTAGACAGAGGGGGGCAAGAGATGTATCTAATTTCTTCACAGAACGGCTCCTTCCAGAATCAGTGTCTTGTGACTACTAAGACCAGGGTCTTCTGGTCTCCATTGGCCTGGCCCGTGCCGGTGCCCCCCTGCCTGGGGAAAACCAGAGACCCCTGATCTGGGTCATTTTCAGCTGCTACCCTCCTTCTAGGAACAGTAGGTAAGCTTATCCTCCCCGTGGGCAGGAGAAGCCAGGAGGCAGAAGGGAGATTTTACTTTGACCTCAAAGCATGGGGAAGACTCCACCTGGCAATGATGAGGGAGTGAGGTAGTGAGGCAGCCGAGAAGGAGGCTACTTGGAGCCCATGGGCTGTGATTAGAAGCTAGGGGTAAAGCCACCGGGGCTGGCTATGCCTCAGCCATTCCCAGGATGGTGTCACCTGCCCTGCTGCAGGTGACGAGAAAGAGGACAAGGGTGCTCTGGAAAAAGTCCAAGGCTTCCAAAGTTCTGCCCGCCCAGCCAGGGTTTTCTTTTCCTTGAGATTATCTATTTCTAGTCCCTGAAGCCAGCAGACAGCCTGCTGGGCCCCCATCGAGAGATGGCTGCCTGGCTCTGTGGTGGCAGGGGTGACACTCCTGGTGGTCCCGTACAGTGGAGGCTTTGTGGAGCTCAAGCCCAGAATCAAAGCGTCAGTTCTGGGTTGCCTGAAAGGTGGTGAGGGCTTGCCCTCAGTGTTGAAGGCACCAACTCAGCGGCTGGCATCCTTCCTAGTTTGGCTGCACCCCATCAGTCTTGCTCAGCTCAAAGACCACCAGTCCCACCCAGCTCTTCTGGAAGCTTCTCCAGGACATTCTAAATCCAACTACGAGCCTTCTCTTCTGCCGTTTTGCAGTTATAGCGTCACGTTCCCTCCCCTTTGCACAGAATTCCACAAACAGGTCCAGGAAGGACATATGGAGGTCACACAGTCCTCTGCTTCCATGCTTCTGTGTGGTGGTTCTCTGCGTCAGGTTCCTGTTCCAGCAGCCTCCATACCGACTAGGGGCAGATTCTCAGCCCTCATCCCAGACCTGCTGGATCTCAGAAACTCCTGATCTCAGAAACTCCAGCAGTCTGTCTTAACAAGACCTCCAGGCAACTGGGATGTTTGCTCAAGTTTGAGAACCACTGCCCTCGTGCAAGATGCCTCTGAACCAACTCTGCCTCCTCACCAGGTGTGCCCTCTGGCCTCATTGCAACCGGATACCCCTGGCTGACCCGGGTCCCTCTGGCCTGCAGTGTTGCTCCCTTTCCAGCAGAGATCCGAGCCACCCTGTCAAGGGAGCTTTTTTTTCCAGCACAGCAAGACATCTTTGCCTGTGCTTGTGGGGTTAGCAGTGGGCTGCGTTCAGAATGTCCATACTCTGACCACTCACAGAGAAATTCTTTTTTGTAGGAGTTTCAGCTGCATAGAATTAGATTCATCTTAATTCTTTTTTTAAAATGCAGAATATGCTTTATTGGTTTTTTTTGTTTTTTTTTTTGAGTTGGAGTCTCACTCTGTCACCCAGGCACACAAAGTGTGCAGTGGCACACTCACGGCCACCCCAGTGTTGAGCTGCTGGGCTCCGGCGATCCTTCTGCCTCAGCCTTCCAAGTAGCCGGAACTACAGGCATGCACTACCATGCCCAGCTTATTTGTGATTTATTGTAGAGACAAGGTTTCGCCAATTTCCTGGGCAGGTTTAGAACTCGCAGGCTCAGGTCGTCCACTCTCCTCAGCCTTCCAAAGTGCTGGGATGACAGGCTGAGCCACCGAGCCTGGCCTTTTTTTGCTTTTTTTTTTTTTTTTTTTTTTTTTACAAACTCTTTTAATGGTTAGAGAGGAGGTGGTATCCAGCTCAGTCTACAATAGTTTAATTTTTAAAAAAATGTATTGTAGAGACAAGTTCTCGCCAAGTTTCCTGGGCTGGTCTCGAATTTGCAGACTCAGGCAATCCACTCTCCTTGGCCTCCCAAAGTGCTGGGATCACAGGCTGAGCCACTGAGCTTGGCCCAGTTGTGTCTTTTTGAAGAAGACGTGGATGTGGGTGCTGTGCAACTATGGTTCCCTGCTTCTGCTCCTGACTTAGTAAGCCGTGTTGCCGCTATGGCCTTTTTTTCTCTTTTTTTTTGGAGTTGGAGTCCACTCCATCACCCAGGCTGGAGTGCAGTAGCATGTTCATGGTCACCCCAGTTTCGACCTGCTGGGCTCCGGTGATCCTTCCACCTCAGTCTTCCAAGAAGCCAGAACTATAGGCATGTGCTACCATGCCCGGCTAATTTTTTAATCTGCTGTAGAGATGAGGTCTCGCCAAGTTGCCCGGGCTGGTCTCGAACCCATGGGCTCAGGCCATCCACTCGCCTCGGCCTTCCAGAGTGCTGGGATAACAGGCTGAACCACTAGGCCCAGCCAGGTTCATCCTCATTCTTGGTTCATGATTTGCTGTTGACATTGGACCATGCCTGGTTCATTTCCTTATTTTTGCTTATTTATATATGCTAATATAATAAATATCCATGAACTCTCCACCTAGCTTATTAACTAGAATGTAAATAAATGGTCATGAACTAGAATGCAAACAGTAACTAGAAATTATTAATACTACTAGGCTGTAAATATATTAGTTAATATTAAGAACTGAATTGTTATTAATTGGAATATAAATATTAAGTAGAAAGATATTGTTAGTAGATGTAATATAATTATATTTATTATTAATAAATGTAAGTAAATTAATTCATATTCACATAATAAGTCCCTGGGAGCCTATCACCTAACTCAATTCTAAAGTGCTGCCAATACCAACTGGGCGTGGTGGCTCATACCC